TTATATAAAAGCTTTCTCACAAAGTTTTGTTGAAATATAAGCGCGGCATATCGCTAGAGTACAATAACTCGCTACGTGTCGGCACGGGGAAAGGCACGATTTCGAAGGCGTCTCCGAACGACGTAAAATCGATCAGGAAGCGCTCAGTCGAAAATCTTCTCGCGAAAGGAACGGCTTCAACAAACAGGATATGAAGTCATAACCCACATCCGTCGTGGTATACGTACAAGGTAAAAGCTGGAAGCTCCCGCGGATTTTATTCATGCATTACGTCTGTAATGTCAATCTGTTTTCACGTCACGACCGAAGCCGGCATAAATACATTCTGTAAGGCGATGTCGATTAGTTCACCTCCTCTATGGCCATGAATTATGGAGCTTACATAACTTTAATGCGATATAGCGCGCGGCATTACATCGCCTGATTTTAACTACATGCGTCCAATTTCGCCTCACGCAACGCCGAGCGAGAGTAAATTCATTCTCTTTCCCCGCGCGACAGTTAAATTATTGCTTCCCTTCAGAAAATTATTGCGACGATTTACGGCGTGTTACAAAGTAAGCGGAGCAGAAGCGAAAAACTAATCTCAGAGAACATTGAAATTCTAGATATATAAATGATAATTACAGAACGTACAAATGATATGAGAGTACAACTCGTAAGAATTTATTTACGTAGTTATATTTAAAATTGTTTAAATTACTATGCTCGCGCGTTACATCTCATGATTAGTTTTGCGAATTTTCGTTTCGAAAGGTCACCCGATGTACCGCCGCGTGTCTGCAGAGTGCTAAGCGCCGCTGCCATCCTCCATGGATGGAGCTATGTAGTTCTCATCTTCTCATATTCGGGAAGCCGCCTTTCGGAGAAAAGTCGCGACGCTATGAAACGAACCAGCAGACTTTCAGCCCTTGGTAAGTAGCGGCAAAGTCCACCTATCAACAAGCCGCCGCGTGTGTTCGTTAAGCGTGCGCGGCTGTGTACGTCGAGATAGGAAGAAGGATGGTAAATATTATACGGGGAGGTGAAGAGCACCGACACTCTCGCTCGCCGTCTACCCCCTCATTCAAGCCTGGCGTGGTATCTTATGATATTGAGGGGATCGGAGCATGCGTGTTAGGGATTACTCACTTTTGCCAGGTCGACCACCCCTGGAATGCATGACGGCGGTAACGTATTTTCGAAGGGCACGCAGTTTACTCTGTTTTCCACGTGATTGAAACGAACCGCCTTCCGTCCCGGAAGAATAACGACCGAAACAATTACTTCTACATGAGACTTCGACGACTGAACCGTTTTTGTTTCCATCGACAAAATTTACACGAATGAGAAAATTGTTCTTGCAATTTGTTTCTTATAACATATATAGAATTATAAAATTTACTAATTATCTAAATTCTAAAATATTCTCGCAACAATAATTATATAAGAAACACAAGGTACAATATAAATCATATCTCGTATATATATAAATCAAGTTATAAATAAGTGTCACAATATACTTGCACAGCTTTCAAAGTCAAATGCCTGCGCATATAACTTGCGCGACAAAAAATAGACGTCCATTCATAAATAGATCGAGTCGGTTCCGGAATTATACGCTTCAGCGAATCGATATATTTGAAGAAAGTGGTTTTCCTCTACCCGTTTTACGCTACTACAATTGTGAGACACGCGAATGTATTGTACTAGCAACCCTTGTTCCCGACAGCAGCGCATCTAAAGTGATCAATCAGTGAGGTTTCCATGAATGTGCACTCAGTCACTCAATGTACTCTGCTCCTACCACGCGACGCGTCGCAAGCTGAGCTCACGCCTTCTCAGTTTCTCAGCCGCAAGGCGACACAATAACGAGACCCCGGACTGTTTACAGTGACGAAACGTATACACCGTATGCGTCATAGCGGTGGATCTAAATCGGGATGGAGAGGACAACGGTGCCGTTGTACGCGATTTGGAAACACGCGCTCGGTCTCCCTGTGACCCTCTCTCACGCCTCTCCCGGAGTAGCCGGAGCGTGATAATCCTTCTTCTACAATGGGCGCCGCGTGCGACACGTGTGTACATACACGGATAACCCTGTCGCCTGTCACAGTCTTAAATCTAGTTTAGCTCGACAAAAATCCCGAGATTATCGAGCTTAATTAATCGTCGATCGACGATGATCTGTGCCGAATGCGTGAGACTCGACGTAAGCGCGCAAAAAGCACAGCGCAAAAAGTAATGAGATAGTTGGAAATTTGAAGGGCGGTCACGTCTCGTTGAGAGTCAATATTGCGTTATACGAGTCTCGTTAATATGGCTCTTTTAATTAAACCCTTCATTGTTCGAAAACGTTAAAATCATGGGGCTCTGGACACAATGGTAATGGCGAGGAAAGTTTTATAATCTTGCCTTGTCGCTGATTATTATTTATGGTATCGTTGTTTCTCATGTCAATTCATACAGAAATATACATAATAAAAATGTATATTTTTATTTTATTTAACGATTGAATAACTAATTGTGCTATGAAAAAATTGTATTTTTATTAAAAAAATATATCGTGCGCGAAAATTCTCTATTCTATATCTTTCATTAATTAAATAACGTGAAGCGGAATGAATTTAGCAGGTTACTACACTTCAATTATTTTCAAGGACGTTTTTATTACTCGGCAGTTCCTCGAAGATCGTTAAGGTGTTCTATAACAGGCTACGCTTTGCAGATATCGCGTGAAACGGTCGCATTTTAAAGTAAAAATCCGTTTCAATCAGGGCTTGTTAAAATGTGCGTTAATAAGTAAGATTTTAACGATTTTAATGTACGTTACGTATATATTTAATATACGTTACATATGTAATACATGCTACATGTGCGTTTATCCTGTATCTGGAATTTATCCACTGCCACGCTTAATCCTTTATGAACGAATTAAATGCCTCAGCCGTGAACGTGGTTATAAACATTTCGCAATCGGATATGCTCCAAGTGTTCGTCGAATATCTATATATCTGAAGTTACGACATTCCGCGCAATATTCTTTTCACGAAATTAAACCCTGGCTTTAAAACGAAAAAGTTGATATCGTCGCAACGTAGACGTAATACTTTCGAATAACATTTGCATGGTTTATCACGTACGTGAGCGTTAAGCAAACATTTCTTGCGCCAAATAAATTTTAAAATGTAAACAAGCATGGTGCAGACCGTTTGGCGCCAGATGAGTTCACTGCACTTTGCATTTCGCCAATATTTTTGTATTGTCCCATGAGACCCCGTATTGTCCCGTAGATCCCGCATACAGTTGTTCGATCTGTCTGCTATATTCGTGGGTGAATTTATCTGTCTAACGTTGCGCACGAAATCTCGCGTATTCGGCAAAAAATTTTTAACCGTTGCAACTCCGCGGTTTATTACAGAAAAGTTTGTTGCAGATCTTTTATCAATTGCATTTTCGAAATTAAATATAATCAAGAAGGTAAACCGCTGATATAAAAAGCTTTCTCAATAATGTCCGAATATTATACAGACATTTTTAAATGTATTGTTACGTACGTAATAATATTATTAAACGTACATACAAGATGTTACAAGTCAGGTCAATAAAACTTCAGGATCTTATTGGAAATTGAATTTAAAACAAAAAAGTTCCTATAAATATATAGATTCGGAAACGCTTCGTTGAAAAGTTATATAGCTAATAAATTTCGAAGAATTTCGTTTTTCGATAATTTAAAAAAAAATAATCCTTTAAAACTCTTCATTCTTTAAAAAAAGAAACAAAATAAATTTTACGGGTAATTAAATAGCAAACTAAATTACACCAATTTTATTTAATTCCGATAAGGCGTTTAAAAGAAAATAAACTCAATAACAAAAAAAGCAGAAATTTGAAAAAATCTTTCTATGATCTTTGTGTAAATACTACATTCGTAACGTTCGTTTTAGTGTAACAATTAGTAGCTAGTTATTTTTGAAAATTATTTAAAGACGTGATTTTTTGAAGTTTAGCGTTTATTAACTTTTTAACGAAGCGTTTTCAGACCTATGTTTATAGTAACTTTTTTGTCCAAATTCAATTTCCTATAAGATCTTGAAGTTTTATTGACCTAACTTAGAACACCCTGTATATTACAATAACAAATGGCTTGCAATTCTTACAAATGTGATTTGTAAGTTTGCTCAAGAAATGTTTCTTCTAAAAAAACCGCGAACTCTACGAAATTGCACAGTCATTTTCTTATTCTCTCTCCCTCTTTCCCTACTCTTTCTCTGTCTCTCTCTCCCTGTCTCTCTCTCTCTCTCTTTCCTTCACACACACATACATCGGTTTAGCAATACCTACAATAATATATATCTCAATTTCTACTCCTACATTGACCTTATAGAATAGAATTCTTCAGTTTACCTGTGGCATGTAACACTATATATAAGGCGACTCAGAGGAACAAAATAACATTTCAACAACAAATTTTACATATTTTAACTTCGTACACCTTAAGATCAATTTTTCCTTTTAATGAATACTTGATACAAGACATGTATTTATAGCAAATTCAAAGTTTTGCAAATAAAATTCGTAGTTTTACGCCAGCTCTTTTCTTGCTTGATAGAATCTGATCAATCCCGAATCGTTTCTTTAACTGTCGAAAATAAAATATCGAAGCACTGATATTTTTCGAGGGGTATAAATAAAAGAGAAATAAACAATCTTTGACAAATTAAACTATTCTAACACACAATTAAATATAAAAATTTTAATGCCGTCTCAAATTCCTTCTTATTCCTTCTTGAAGAAATTTTAATTTCAATCTAAAATATTAAAGTTGAATACTAAAATCTTCTATTAAAACTTGACCCCAGATCCATCAATTTGTGATTTCAATCCAAGATATTTATAGTTGAATATTAAAACCTTCTATTAAAACTCGACTTCAGATTCATCAATTTACGATTGAATGAGAATTGGATTTCTCCGCGACACTCTGTATAATTGTATAACTGTGATTCACCACGTACCTCTAGAGAGCGAAGGAATCCCGAAGGCGTTCCGGCGTGCCGTTCCACGGCGATATACGCGGATAATAAAGTCCGACTCTCGAACGCTGCGCGAACACTTTCGAATCACCACTCTGCGAACGATTCCGATTCCATCGCCAATATAATCCGGCAAGTAACAACAACGACGGCACGGCACGGCACGGCACGGCACGGCGCGCGGCGCGGCGGGTCGCGGGCGCGCGTATTTACATTCCGCGACTCTTTGCACGACCGTTTGTCGGATGGCGAGGACGGTGCCAAGGGGGATGCCCGCGAGCCTCGACTCACACGTGTCCGCGATCACGCCGCGTTCTACACTCGCGCGCGCGAAACAACGTTAAACAACGCACTGTTTTCTCACTACACTGGTATCAGGTACGCCACCGTCCTCCGCGGCGTTCGCGGCTCCGCATCGGAGCGAGGTCGGGGACTGTCGAGAGATTTGTGATCGAAGTGCGTCCTGCGGCGAAAGATCGCGGTGTCGCGTCGCGGTGACGTTTTTACCTCCTCCGTTCTCCGTGTTATTATTTCTTTTTCTCTTCGTGCCGAGAAGACGCCGCGCCGTAGGTATGCCGTAATCGAGATCGCGCGTATTATGACGCAGCAAGCACCGGGGAGCTCTGGGCGCTGCTGCTCCGCGCGATTGTCAGATTCCGGAGAAATGGACCAGCGCGCGCTGGATCTTGCGCTCCGTTTCTCACGCAACGGGGAGGATGCCGAGGGGAGGCCGGGAGAAAGGGAGTGGGGACGGAGTGGCGACGAGTCGGATGCCGATTGATATAAGAAACGCGTTGGCGAGCGTGGCCGTTGGCGATCCGTCCCGCGAAATCCCCGCGAGAGCCACACACGCCGCCGTTCGTGGTGTGTTCCGGGCACGCGAAGGGAACGGCCGAAAAATCCCGTACAAGAGCACCGGCAGGTGTACCTCGGCGGACGTCCACGCTCGCTCTGAGGGTGTTCGGCGGCTTTGATCTCGTGCGCATCCGCGCCGCGCATTACGCTCACATCATTGGCCCGACGGACCGACACCGATCTCCCACCATTGACCCCGGGCCGGCAGGGATTCTCGATTCTCCTCCGGCAGGATTCTGCCTGCCTTCTGCCGATGCCTAGAGATGCTCGAGGTACTCCGTAGTATCTGAGTATCAATATATACTTCGACTCCGCGATACACTACTAACGAGCGTTGTCGGCATTGACATCTGACTTCCGGCGTTCCCCGGCGACCCCGGCAAACTAATTCTTTCTCTTTACGAGTCGCTGGCACTTTATGAGTAATGCCGCTAAAAAGAGTATTGTTAGTTTATGACAATCTGTCTGCAACGTAGAGCGATAAATATTTATAGATTCGTAATACAGGAATATTTCTTACGTCAGCCGTAACTAGGACCTTTTCATTATTGTGGAATTACACGGGGAGACTTTCCACCGAAAAATATTTTCCGCGGCTGTCTAGTTATCCGCGACTATTACTCATTCGCCTTCCTCTATTATTCTTCTGCGCCAGACAGCATTGGACGCAAAGTGTGTAATGCAATATAAATTTATTTAGCGGAGATATTCCATTTCTACCTGCTTCAGAGTCAAATATAGATTTTTTTTTATCTTGCAAGTTTCAAAACCGAGACTTTATCTGTCGCTTGGCTTGTATACTTACGTACGTAATTTAGTTAAGGTAAGTTCTTTTAACTAATTTCGAAAACAGAACGAAAGTAGAGAACTTTGCAAGTCTCGAATTAATTTCTGAACTTTGCTAAAAAAAAATTCTAAAAACAGCAACAAGTAGATTATAAAAGTTGATGTAAATGCAATATAAAGAAAACGGTAACTTAAAAAAATATATAGATAATAGCATAAATAGCGCGAAGTGAAAAATTTTAAATGTTTTAAAATATTATTAACAGTCAAAATTTGCAGGAAGTGCTTGATCAATAAAATAAAAAAGGACATTCAACATTTACCTTTTAAGTAGTATAATAAAAAATACGGAGATAAATACAAAAAGAATGGTGTCAATAGAAAAAAAATTCATACGAAAGTATATAAGTGCTGGTCTACAACTTGCTTTAAAGGGTATTTAAGCTTTAAGCCGTAAGAAATTAACCAATCAAAATCGAGTATTTTCCTCACATTCCATTATGATTGGTAAATTTCTTACGGCTTAGAGCTTAAATATCCTTTAAAGCAAGGTTGTAGACCAGCACTAATGTAAGTCGCGATAAGGCAAATTATGAAACTTTAAATAGGCCGGTTTGAGTAGTTTCGTGTTAGCAATGTCGAGACAGAAAAGTAGATAAATGGGGAACATTGCTAAGACGTAGCACCTGAGGCGAGAAAGAAGAAGTGACGTTCGTACTATTAACCCAGGGCGGTAGAAGAGAAGAGAAACCTTTACTGCTCCAGGATCTTCGTTGAGCGCCATTACGCCGAGAATAAGAAATAATTGCGTGGTACAGAGGGTCAAAGTCGTGAGAGCGACCTGCTGCTTGTGATCCGCCACAATACCAGCGACCTTTAATCTCGTCTCGTCCGTCCCTATTTCTCTCCTTCAGTTTGCGACTCATCTATCTTATATCCTTGTGTACTGACCGTAAATACGAAAGCCCCAAACCGATTTTATCGCAATAGACTGAGCCGAATCAATTGCTTTCTTGTATACCGCAATAAATTGGAAGGTTTGATGATGGTGTGTTTATCTTTATAAGACCTGTTAACTTTCAATATGTAGTATAGATTTATATGAATTATTTCGCTGAATCACGATCACAGGAAGTATACATGTTAAACATGCTTTTTCTCATCACACCATCACAGAAGTCCACCGCATTAAAATTATGATTGTTGCTATGATTTTAAATAATCTTAGATTTATTTATTTATAAAATTAATCATTAAACAAATTACTAGTTGCGCTGAAGCTTTTAAGTTTGAATAAATATAAAATTGTTTTTTTTTTATAAATTTTATGTACACACACGTTATAATATTTATACATTTTTGTTTTATTCGGTAGATAAATTGTATGTACATTTATCTTTTATCAGTAAATCACAACTAGTATCGTAAATACATAGACTTTTTATCGTTAATGCTGATATGGATATTGATAACAGTTAATACATACACCAAAAAATATAGGTATTGATGTATTTATCTGTTGTAAAGTATGAATGCCAGTATGCTTATCTGCTGTAAGTTTTTAAAAGTATTAGCAGCAAGTTACGCTCCGTTGGTAAAGAGAAAGTATTAGAGTATTGGCATACTATCTGCAGATAAGTACTAAAGAGTATCAGTACTCGATATATTTGCACCGACTGAGTAAAATCATGGATGATAACATAATTGTAAACATCATTTATTCTACCTATATACAAATAATTTAAATTTATGGAATAGAATTATATACATAATCCGGATACTACTAGAAAGTACTTTAAATTATAATTGATTTATATACATTTATTTATCGTGCAATCGAATCACGAGAGATGGTGCTGATCGTTTCATTTAATATGTCATTGTTGCTTTATTTATCGTTCAGGCGAAATCTTGCTTATGAATGTAATAGTTCAAAAAATTTATTTGTTTTTATTTTATAATTAATTATTTAATATAATATGTTTTAATTTATACACATAAAATATATATATAAGTAAATATAATTAGCTTATAATAAATATCACATCCATATATTCAATTCATATTATGTATAACACAAATAAACAGAAAAAAAGAACGAGAGAATATAAAGAAATGTAATAAGGATAAAGAAATATAATAAGATATATTTTAAATAGATAAAAGCTTTTAATATTACACATTCATATTATTGCTAAAATTAAACTGAGGTTTATAAATCGTGAATTAACGTACATAACTGAACACTTTACACGGCCAGGCTCAATAAAAGCGCAGTGCCGCGTTTTACCCAGAAGTCCGAACCTTGTGTTCCAGCTTTGAGATCTACAGCAACTACGAACGCAGATCTCATTTGGTCGCCGCTCCTCTGGGGGTAATAATAACAAGGACAGCTGTAGAACTCTGTGAAAGTTAAAGCGAATGTTGGTTGTAATTGATAAAGTCTGTTTCTTCCAGCGACCGCAGGCGTATTTGCGCGCGAAGAAAATCAGAACGCAGTACCTAAAGTGATTTTGATATTTGCATGTTATATTTTACCTTTGACTTTCTTTTTAGCTTGCTCGACGGGTCGAAAATGAATCACCGGCATGTTGCATACAAGTTGCATGGGAGCGGGCTCGACGAGAATGCCATTCTCTTTATCCCAGCCGGCGCCTTCCAGAAAAATGAATCGTATGTACACGCCGTCCTAAAATAAAATTATGCAATTAATAAAGTAAATATTAGTAAATATACAATTGTTCAAAATATGCACGTTTACGATTGTTATATCATAATTAGTAAAAATAATATGCTTTCTATAATCGATTTCTCGCAATTTCTGTATTGAAGAAAATCTATGGAAAGAATATAAAGGGCATGCAAGATTATTGTTTGTTGTAAGAAAATTTCTCGTTCTGAATTTCGCACAATTAATATATTTTACTGCGTACTCGAAGTTAGTCATATGTAAGAACGGTAGAATTTTTATCTCAAACTGTTATATAAATGGGATATTTGTATTAACAAATCAACACTATTGTTCAAGCAAGGAATGTATCCCAGGTAGCAGGATGACATCTAAAGACGTATTAATACCGTTTTATTGACGTTATATAGAGACGTCATTAAGACGTTATTAATACGTCATTTGACGTCACTCTGCTACCTGGGATAAGCTTCTTATAGTAAAACGGTGCTCGATATTATTCGTCCCGGACTGAAACTGGTCCGATGAGCAATTAGTCTAATCGCTCGTAGTTACCGCGGGCGGCTCGATTATAGCAGACTCGTCCGTTGAGAAGACAGTAAACTCCCATGACAACGAATCGATAGATACGTTCCACAGTCTCGCCGAAGTTTGTAGTACCGCAGTAAGGAATCCGGTTGGAAATGTATACGCAGCTAGCCAGAAGAGCAATGGCGGATGAGTGGTTTGAGCCCAATTGGCGAAGTGCTCGACTCGATTGATTAGATCCCTCGTCCAAGCGCCGAGCAGTTTCAAAGACGGATACGCGGTCAGCCATAAAGACGGTACTCTCCCGTCGTATATGCACGCGAAGATTTCTTCTAACTCTCGCGACATCACCACCGATCCCTTAATTCCACGTTGAAGTTCCTCAAGGCTGTCGCGAGTTTTCGCCAACAGCACGTTGTACCGTCCGATCTCTTGAAGAAGCACCACGTCCAACGGTGTTTTATACGGCCCTATCAGTTTCTCCGTTGTCTCGTAATCGATCGTTTCCGGTATTTTTGAGATAATATCGCTCGCGAGTTGCATTACCTGCAGAAAATGAATATACTCAAGATAAAATTAATAAAGTAACAATAACAGACAATGTCGATTAAAACAGAATAAATATCAAGACTATTTGTGAAGTTTAAAAATGTATAATCTATCATATGCCTACTTATTATCTTTTATGTTTTTTTTACTTTTTTAATTAAACAGGAAAGATAAGTTTTACACTCAACAGCTTTATTTACTTACCTTCTGTTCCTTGTCCTCGTCCAACTCGACGCTGACCACTTGTACTTGAAGACTCATGAGAGTCTGAAGCATATTTCTGGCCTCCATCATTAGGCAAGTGATATCCGCGTTTGGATGTTGACCAAACACCTCCGGCTTGTCGATGTTCGGCAGAATCGTGATAAAGTCGCGATAGGAATCCAAGGAGCCGTCGCGAGGTACGTAATAGGTGGGCAGCGATGATAAACGATAATGGGGAGTAGTCAGGGCGTCTTCCGTGAAATATTGCTGGATGTATGTCATCAACAACCGGCGATCCCAGTCGTCGGTCACGTGACCACCA